TGGAAGTATTTCTCCTATTTATCAATGTCAGGATTTTTTTCTTTGTCTTTCTTTTTTAAAAAAAGATTGTCTCATAAGCTTCTTTTGCCTACTTAGCTTCTACTACTCAATTAGACATTGCTACATAATTAATCTTGAAATAGCAGCTATTTAATCAAAAGATAAGTTAAATGTATTAATTGTGTGGTTTCTGTAGCCTGTTAAATAATACCTTTAATATTTAGCATAAAGGCAAAGAGATTCTGCTGAGTACCCATTTGACTGTTCTTCCTGTTGTTAGTCCCAATGTTCAGCAAAAGTGTCATGACATAGAACTGGAGATGATGCTGTGAAATGTGTGTGTGTGTGTGTGTGTGTGTGTGTCTGAGAGATACAGAGAGACAGAGACAGAGACAGAGAGTGTGTAAGTTTGACTACTTTGAAAAAAAAAGCTCTTTTAGAAATTAGGATTATGAAAGTTGCTTTTCACAATTGACTTCAGTATTTCTTGGTTAGGAGTTGGGTCTCTGTGGATACCAAGGTGTGTCATTTAGAGAAATGTAACCAAAGTAAGACACAGCACAGCTTTCCTGTGTGGTATGGCAAGATATCCACTGCAAAGTACATGGCATGATGAAAGGTTGACTGAACTCTAAATGATGTAAGTGAAATTGAGAGCATGAGTATTCACAAGGTTTAAATAACATCAATGAAAATGTTATTTGCGTAATTTAAGTATCTGCTTCCCAGGAGAAGGACAGTGAATTGATACCCATAGGAATAATTTCAATCCAACGCACAAGACAACAATATCCTTACAGTTCAATATTTTGGAGTACACTTGCATACTACAAACTTCTCCTGAGCTTCTGCTTTCTTAAAAGTTATATGTTGTTTGGTTAAGTACTGAGAAACACAACCTCTGTAGTGCTTTCTGCATCCTAGTTACTTATGAGGGATACCTTTTTTTCTCATTGGTGATGATGATAAAAATAAGCAATGATAGTAGTCCCTCCTTTTATCTCAGAGTATAATTGAGCTTGCCACAGTTTACAAGTGGGACAGCTCAAACATGGAGAAATCAACCAGCCTGATTCTCCAGAGTGAGAAGTAGCCAAAACTCAAGATTTGCTTCCATTGGATTCTAGTTCTAATTCTTTTTTCTTTGTGCTAGCTAGAATTAGTAGTTAGCATCTTTCATGTCTGTACTTTTGACAGCATTGCTACCTTTTCTACTGTTTATAATAATGCTTATTTACCAAAAGAAAGTTGTTACACTATTAAACTTACTTTAACCTGCTAAATGAAAATAAAGAAAGCAAAAAGAAACCACCCCTGATACTTTGCAGATTATATATATATATATATATATATATATATATATATATATATATATATATATGCTGTAAACTTTACAGATCTGTTATGTGATGAATTATATTTAAGCAAAACCATTTTATCCTGTGATAAACAGGATATTCTTTATTGTTTGTTACTCGGAAACTGGTCATCACTGCATCACATGCTGCATGTGAACTTGACCACATTCCATCTCCTATGGAAGTAGTTAAGGTGGTGCAGAAGGCAAGCTTGAAGAACTTGTTGGCAACATTGTTTATCCTCTAAGTGTTGCATATGTGTATCATATATACATCAAATAATTTTATCTAGTTTTCTTGGAGAAGAACAACAACAACAAAACCCAGTTCTTAAATAAAAAGGCATTTCACCATTGTTACTTACTTTACAAAATGAACAATTCCAATAACAATACTACTTATCACTACCATATAATTATATATTAGTGTTAATAATATATGTATTATATATTATCTAAGAACTTATTAAGTATATGCAAGATTGTAATAAAAACTTTTTAGCTTTTATACTTGAAATAATACTGACAGAAACATTGCAAAGATAGAACAGAGGCTTTTGTTATACCCTTCACCAAATTACCACAGGCTTTTTAAAATTACCTAGGGAAAATTAGTGTTCTGGCTCACTGATAGTCTATGTACCATGCAAAGATTTGCATATATTTAAAACATTTGTATCTAATGACTTAGCTAAAGTGACTGTCATTTCTTCTTTAGCTGTATAAACTATAAGAAACTGGACAAAATTTTTCTTGTCTTAAACAAAACCTATTATAATGATATAGTTTTTAAAAAAGGACAGTTTGTTCTTTGATAGTTCATATATACATGTATATATAATACAAAGTTCAATTGATTATTTTCTTTCTCAATTCTTCTCAAGTCTGATATCTGATATAGTAGTACTTGTCTCTAATTCTACCACTCAAGAGGAATAAATAAACCTTGAATATACAGGCTTGCTTTAAAAATCCAGCCTGGTAGACTTGTTTTGCATAAGGAATAAATAGAGCTTGAATATATAGACTTACATTCAAAATTCAGTATGGAAGACTTGTGTTGAATATTTATATTTTAACTAGGGAAGACCATAACAAATTTTATTTTCTAGGAGCATAGAAATAATAAATGCTCATAGTTTTTGTATGCACATGTTATTTGAAAGTTAGTATTCTTGTGCCAACCTTATTTGCTCAAAAATTTAAAATCTGAAAACATAATGAACAGAGCATTTTAAATAGAGCTTCATTTCCTTTTCCGGACAAAACATGAACCGTTTTCTCACTGATCAGCTGAATGTCCATAAATCCCTTATAATATTTTCTGGCTCCCATCTTTTTCAATCTAATATGACATAATGTATGAGAAAGTTTTAATGCATAATAGAATGTTAAAGAAATAAGTGTGAAAGCTGATTAGCCCCAGAGTAGGCCTCACTGGTTGTCTATTTTGGTAGAATCAGCACTCTGTATAAATTATTTTACCATATGATTGATTTTTGAACTACAAACCTGACTTTTGAAAGGAAAGTCACCAACTATAACCTCCTTTAACAACACAAAGTTTACCTTTAGAAATCGTCACCATGAGAAAGTTCTGAGAAGCCTGTTCCCAGGCATCACACTGTGTCATCAAGTGAGGCTGCCTTGGGTATGTGTGTGTGAGGTATTTGGGCCAATGACCTTCTCCTATCCTTGGGTTCAGATGACTGGCTTTGCTATTTTTGTGCATTTTCTTGAAGTGAAATATTCAACCTTTTAAAACTGCATTTTTGTCATGGAGCCAAGAGGCGGAGTTGCTTGCTTGACTCTGCGTAAGGCTGTGTCGATGCTGACGCTGACGGTGCTCTCCTCTTCTCTCCACTGTCTCTTTTCATTTTCATAGATGCACATCGGGAATTCCTTCACAGGCCTGCATCTGGATACGTGCCAGAGGAGATCTGGAAGAAAGCTGGTAAGAATTGTTTAAAAACACGAGTTTAGTGTTCTGGCAGCTGTGTGCAGTTGTTAATGCCGAGATGTGAGGAGTGACAAGAGAGGACTTCACTGTGAACAACAACAATAGCAAAAGCAAAGCAAAACAGAGCGAAAACCACAAAACAAAACAAACTAAAAGGAAAAAAACACCCTCATTAATATTCTCAAACCGGGCCTGATTAAAACATGAAATAGTTTTTTATTTCCATAGCATCTGCTAGTGCCATTATAATTGAAAGGCTGGCAATGTTTCCTTTATAACCTTCTCCCCTCCCCCCTTTTTGTAGCATCTGTAATGGTTTCAGAGTGAAATTTTGGCACAGGAGGTCTTAGCTTGCATGGAGTTTTTCTTTGATGAGGAAAGAAACCCAGTGTTTCAGGAATGAAATTACATACATCAGCGTTTTTCTCTACGTTCTAAAGTCGGACCTAATCTAGTGGACTTGTTAAGGAACGTTGGAAGGATCATTATTTTTTGGTTTCAGTCTGGTATTAAAATCACTCTTCTGTGGTATTTAATATTAAGCCATCAGAGTTAAATTCCTTTTTAAGTTGAGCAACAGAGTGGTCAGGCCTTTATTTTCCACACACACCGTTCATCCACTCCCATTACTACCTGTTGCTGTGCATTTTGCGGTAGATTTGAAGCTTCCTGTGACCCACTGACTTAGTATTGGTCTTAAAGGAAAGAGCTGACAGACTCTCTGTGGAGCACCAGCTATGCATGAAACCATTAAAAATTCAACTCAGGAGATCAAAGATAAGCCCGGGTCAAGATCCTACGATTACACACAGAACAGACGATAGCTGTGTCTTTGCTGCTGAAATTTCAACTGTTAGAACAGTTTCTCTTTGAAACTGCCTGGACCAGTTCAAGCCACATACCATGTGGTTACGTGGCTGGCCAAGCTCAGTCTTGGGAAAGAGTCTTTGTTGCTGTTATCACTGTTTTTTAGCAAAAGATTTCTTTTTAGGTTTTGGTTGGATTCAGCTGTTTGTGGCTCTTTACCATTTGCTGAATATTTAGTCATGTGTACTTTATCCACATGTTTTATAAAACGTCTGAAACATCCTACTTCTTGTGAGAGTGATAACAATTTTCTCACATCTGATAAAATTCTGTTTCGAAGCTCAGATCTAGAGCTAGAAAGCATTCACACGTGTTCTCTCTACAAAGCCGATGGATCCTCTGGCTTAATTGATGAGATAAGAGTGAATTCACCTATGTCATTCATAAATATATTATCCCTACCCATGAATATGTATATGATGTATATGTATATGATGTATATGTATATGATGTATATGTGTATATATATTTATATATCCAGTTGTGCCAGTAGTCTCAGTGTTCTCCCAAGTTGTTACTAACCTGCCAAGTGCCCCCCTAAACCCTAGAAGTGCTGTATTTTCCCGTTGCTTCCTTTTTTTCTTTCAAATCCACTTTTGAGCATCCAAGGCCTGCCATTCCAATAGGTACAAAGAAATGTCATTTTGGATAATAAAAGGATGAGTTTCTGTGTTAGAGGAAAATGCCCTTCACTGTTCCCTTCATTACCTGTACTTAAGTTAAATTCTTGATTGTTCCTAAAGAAAATTGACTGTGAGGTTTTGTGTAATCCAAGTTCCCTCTGCTGTTATCTTCTAATAAGTACGAGCAGATTTTCTTGAATATACCACCTTTCCTGAAAAGTCAGATTGAATAGCTAAACATAAAGGATGCTCATGGGAGCATCAAGCAACGGCTGGCCAATTCAGAAGTGTACTTTGTACTTTCCACAAATTCAAAGTTCCTTTTCTTTTCTTCTTCTTGGTTTTTCTTATTTGGCATATGGGAATCTAGGGAATCATCCATTATGTTTCCTTTCCAGTCCCCTTTGTGCGTTCTGAACCCAGCCTTGATGTAGTTTAGTTTCGTGGGACTTAAAAGTTGAGAAAAAGCAATTTTGTTTTTCTTATGTCCAAGCAATGCTGAAGATGGAGTGAACCTTTGCCAGGGGAGTTTCGGGTTATTTTTAAATGTATCTTTCATCTACATCCTTTGTCATTCTAAGATATGGTTTGGTTGTGGTACAGATGACATTTGTTCTTTTCTTGTTGTGGTACCCACTCATCACATCTAACAGTCTGGACTAATTTTCTACAGATGAATGCTAAATATTAAGGGGTGGATGGCAGCTTTTCCTAGAGAGCTCTGAAGTGATTGTGGGATCTTCATGGGCAGACTTCTTAAAAAGCAGGTATAGACTTCCCAGTGAGTGTCAAGGATTTAGAGTTCCTAATGAGAATCAGTGTCCAGCACATGAAAATACCACAGGTCAAATGGCCCATCTACACTTAGCTTCTTACACTTGAAAAGGACTCTCAAACTTAACTTTGTAAGCAAAAAAACAAAACGAAATCCAGAGCTAGGCTTAATCGTTCACACCTGTGGTCCCTATAATTAACGACTGAGGCAGAGGGATGGAGCAAGAATGAGGCAGCCTGTGCTACGGAGCGAATCCCCATCTCATAAAACCAAACAGAAATGCAACAACAACAAAAGCCCCAAACCAATAAACAAACCTTCCTACTCTTTCTTACAGCTTTTATGTAGTACATTGTCCTCACTGGAAATTACAAATATAAAGAATTTACTTTTACTTTTATGTACACTGGCGTTTGGCCAGCTTGTATGTCTGTGTAAGGGTGTCAGATCTTGGAGTTACACACAGTTGTGGGCTGCCATGTGGATGCTGGGAATTGAACCCAGGTCCTCCTGAGGAACAGTCAGCAGCCCAACTGCCATCTCCCCAGTCCCAAAAATGATAATTATAAAAGTAAATAGTTTTAAATGTGTTTTCCAGTTTTTATGTCATTTTATTTTGAAATGATTTTAAACTTGCCAGAAAATTTCAAAAACAGAATAGTAATCCTTTCTGCTTTCATTTTACCATATTTGGATAGAGTGTCCACATTCTCCTTCTCATACTTTTTGTCTTTCTCTCTGCCTCTCTGTTCTAATATGCACACGTGCATACACACACACACACACACACACACACACACTGCACATAAATATACACACTCCAAAAAACACAAACGCCACACTACACATAAATATACACACACAAACATACACACACACACAAATGCACACACAGGCACTACACATAAACATACATACCATCACAAACATACACACACACTACACATAAACATACACACACACACTCACAAATATACACACACACTCACAAACATACACACACATATAAGTGGACACACAAACTCATATACACATGCACATACACACACAAAAACATACACAAAAAACCCATACACACAAACATACACATACACACAAACACAAATATACACACACTACACATATACACACATATACAAATAAACACATACACAAATATGCATACACACAGCATACATACACACAAACACACACACACAAACATGCACACAGGAGAGAGAGAGACCCTATTTAAATTCTGTATGTTGCTCCGATGATAGTTTAATGATATTTAATCCACATTTTAAAAAAGATTACAAACCCTTACAAACCATGGTGACAACCTCCACTTTCCTCTAAAAGTTGTATTTTTAAAAGCAAGCGCAAAGAAAGCAAATGAACTCAAAAGTTACAAAGGATCCTTGCAAAACTGGAGGAGAAAAAAACAAACATAAAAGTAGTTTTAAAAATTGTGACTGAATGTTTCCTTCAGTATATTTCTTTTCAAAGGATCAGAGAATGTTTGCAGTTGGTAATAAATATTCAAGCACCTTGCAAATGTCCTACCAATTCTCTTTGCTGAGCTGTATATCCCTGTGGGATTAGAATAGGAATGCATAATTTAAATATAAATTGCCTGATTTGCATATACAATTAGTCAAGCTACAGCTTTGATCCTAAGCAAAAATTATTGTCCTGTATTACCACTTAGATAGAATTTTAATTCACCTTGAATATTCAAACTAAATTAGACCCTGGCTATATGACTAGAAGGGCAGTACTTCCCCGATGCCCTGAGTCATTTATGATAGGGTAATAGAGGCAGCCTCTGCCTCCTGGTGAAGAAGGTTCTGTGAGCTGTGTGTGATACGCTGATTCCATCCAGATTTGAAGTGCATACCTTGTAGGAGCTAACACAAGCCTATCACAGTTTAGTTAACATTTCCAATCTGGTTCATTCCTTTATAGTATAGTTTCTGAGCCTTAACCAGACATTATTTGCAGTGAAGGTACTTTAGGGATGACAGTGCCAAGTGACAGAGGCTACAGAAAAGATGATACTGAGTCCCAGGAGCGGGCTTCTGGTGGCCTGTAGGTCATATAATGTAGAATCAACCACAGGAACTTAAGGAACCCTGAGAAGACTTACATCTCTTAAACTTTTCATCTACAGTAAAACATTTTTATTAGGAATCTATGTTTTTAATTAAACAGACATTTAATTAAGGTGCTTTTTAAGTGGGTGAAACAATTAAGTGCAAACACTTGAATAAAACATATCATAATTAGTTTTAATAGAGTGTTAATTGGTAGTAGGTTTGCCAAGTTAATAATTACTGCTTATTAAATTTTCAATTAATCATTGTCATTTTGCTTTGAATAAAGATGAAAATTAGATAAACTAATTCATGAGGAGGGTATTTTCTCTTGTTAATTTGAACTGTTAATTTTTTTTAAATGGAAAATACTAGTTTTAGTTGTCAATCTTCTTTTGAATATTGGCTGAATCTTTTTACCTCAACTACAGTCAAAACTGAAAAGCTAATTGGACCTTGTAGGTTTTCAGTCAGGTATGATCATGTGTCTTGAGGTGTGACTCCCTTTTGTCTGTCCAGTGCAATAGTTGGTTGTACCAAGTTACTGTGGGTATGCTTGAAGTAGACACAGAACATCTTAAAACATAGAAATGGCAAGGTTCTCTTAAAAAGATCTATATTATTTGCTTTGTAGAAGCATATATCTGTATCATTCAAGAAATGACAAGAAAAAGTTAAAGTGGACCATCTATTTCATTATTTATTTTATATAGAGAGTCCTACTGTATAGCCCAGGCTGGCCTTGAACTCCTGAATTATGGGCATTCATCATGATCTCAGGCTAAACAGTAGGTTCCTTGTGTGTCTGAATGAGGCATACAAGTTCCAGTTTCCTTGTGGGTATTCTTTCTTCTTAATGGCGCCCAGAATCATTGCTGGAGGCTTATTATGGGAGGAAATATTAAAGTAAATATATATGCATTAAAAATATTCCCAACAAGGCCATGCCAAAGGAATTCTCATTTTTTGATTTCCTAGATGAATTTAAGAGATCGTGCTGTTCTTTTAAGAGCCAGAACTGTACAGCCATTTGGATAAGAGCTGAGTTTGTTCTATGAACTTCTGTTAAGGGATGGATACTTGCAGTGCTGAGCTAACCCAGAGTTATTCTGTTCCTTGGTCTGGCTTGATGTCACAGAGGAGGCTGTGAATGAGGTGAAGCGGCAGGCAATGACAGAGCTGCAGAAAGCTGTGTCTGAGGCAGAGAGGAAAGCCCATGACATGATCACCACAGAGCGAGCCAAGATGGAACGCACGGTGGCTGAAGCAAAGAGGCAGGCAGCAGAGGATGCTCTGGCAGTCATCAACCAGCAGGAAGACTCCAGTGAGGTAAGGACTTTTTCATTGCAATGAAAAGAAAGAACATTTGCTTTTGATTCCGGAAGTTCACAAATGCAAGTGGAAATTGGACTTCAGACAGATAACTGGGGAAAACCTGGAAAAACAGTGCATCGAAAGTCTAGGCATTGGTGGACTGACCTAGCACTGATCTAAGCTTGTTTATTTGTTAGCCACTTGGAAGGAAAGTTCTTTAACTGAGGTGTTGCACTGTGATGTGTTTGGTAATTGAAACTGAATGTGAAAGTCTTTTGATTTATGTGTATGGTAGGTGTGTAAATGGGTGTGGGTATGTGCCATGGCGATGTTCTGTAGTCAGAAGATGACCTTAGATGTTGGTCTCTGCCTTTCATATTGTTTTACATAGGGCCTCTTATTCACGTCTGCACTTGTGTTGGGCAGTGAACCTCTGGGGATTCTCCTATTTTCATGTCCCATCTCCACAGTGGATGTTGTGATTATGGATGTGTAAACTGTCCTGTCCAGCGTTCCATGGGTTCTTGGAGTTCAAGCTCAGGTCCTTACTCGTGAGGCAAATATATTAACAACTGAGCAATCATTCCAGCTCCTAATGTGAAAGTCATGTTCTCCAAAGTCATATTGATGCCTGGTATTACAATTACTTTAGTAAGGAATCCTAAAGTCCAATGCCATCGAAATGTCTGCATGATTTAAATATTTCTAAAAGATTTTGTGTATAATCATTGTTTTTATGTGTTCTGTCATAACCATTATGGTAGTATTAACATAAAATTGCTATCTGAGTAATATTATTAAGTATTGTTCCACTATAATGATTTCTACACTGTCCATGCCCACACACACACGTGCTCATTCAGGACCCAATGATTCAAGGAACTGGTAAGTAAATAAACTAAAATGTGGCAAAATGCTTTAAAAAAATATTGCCTACAGAGTCAGAACAGCATTGAATTGTTCCATGTTAATTAATATAGCACACAATCATCAACTCCAAAATAACTCCAGATAAAAGACTGCAATTAGCTAGTCTCACAAATCTGAACTAGCAAAGGCACAGACTGATAAATCAATGGTCTACTACAATACGTATCTGTAATTTGTGAGGGAGAGTAAGAATTTAATTTGTAGCAGGCTTTTCTGCAGATGAAAGACCCTGCGGGACTCACTCAATGCCCAGAGTTTCTATTTAATGTGTAGCAGATGAATAACAAGGGGACAAAAGGAATTGATTTTCAACATTTGGAAGTTTCTCAGGAAGAGGGGGACAAAGGGAAGTTTATCTGCTTTTTAATGGCTGACTTTTCCATTGTTGAATTAAACTAGACAGAAATTCAATTTTACTGGCATCTTGCCTCTAAGATTTATATGGACTTCTTTTTTTTTGAGTTGATTAGTGTCTTCTGAAGAGAACTGTACAAGTTGGTGATAGTGTTAGTCACACTTACCATCCTGTGTATATTTTTACTTTCACATGAACATCTTAGGCCTGTATTTATATTTAGAGTATTTGTAGAGGATTGAATTCTAAAGACAAATACCTAGGAAGGAAATAAGTTACTATATTTACATTCAGGCAGTGGTATGCTGGAGCCCTTAGTGTCTTTATTATAAGACACAATAAAACCATGCCAAAAAATAAAAAATAAACAAACAAACAAACAAACAAACAAAAAACCAGTATGATACTGACACTGGTCTTGGCATTAGTATTATACAGACCTCAAGTTCAGGTCTACAAAACTTACCAGGACTCCTCCCACACAATCTGAAGGTCTTCAGTGTCCTCAGGTTCAGCCAGGCCCATTCTGACTCTCATGTTGATTGGCCCATCAGGTGGGGAATCTGTCAAAGCTATGAGGCCCCTGTTTTAATATATAGACAATTTAGAATTCTCACCAGTACCGTTAAGCTTTGTAATTTCCTTAAGCATTAACCATTTGACCACAAATAAGGTTCATATAGCATTTTAGATAATTAATGATTTTTTTTCTCTGGTGAAAAAAAGGAAGTCTGCTTATGGAGGAAACTGGTTGAAAAATATGTGTTATCATTAAGTGAAACAGTTATTGATTTTTTTACCTCTTATTAGAATCATTTCTTAACAGCTGCTCTTCCTTCATGCCCCTTCTCTTTCTCCCCTTTCTTGTCAGTTGTGGTGGATTCAAGGAGGATGACTGCAGTACACTTTTGCATTTGAATGTTTGGTCCCTAGGTGGTAGAACTGTTTGGAAAAGATTAGGTGTGGCCTTGTTAGAGGATGTTTGTTACTAGGAGTGGACTTTCAGGAGATAGTGTTGTTTTCTTTTCTTTGCCAATACAAAAGCTGAGTCTTGAGTGATGTAGGACGGTTGTTCCATGGCTCAGATGGTACCTGTGAGCTAGTCCTCAGCCCAGGTTGCCATGGTAGCCACACAGCAATAGAAGAATTCTTTCCCCTGGACCAAGTATACACTAGTATTTTCCAGTTACTGATACACAGTTCTCTAACTTTGTAAACTAATAACATCACAACTAAGACAATGACAAGGAAATTTGAACAGCAGCCATGATGTAGGAGGTAGGCTCCATATGGAAGAGGTAGTTCTCAGTCAGGAAGTGTAGCCTGGAAGGGCAGTAGGGGTACAGGAAGCAAGTTGCATCATTGGTTTGTAGCAACTGTGGAAACTCCATCAGCTAAGAAGGGAGGAAACAATTCTTTATACAAGTCTCTGCTTTTCAAACACCTCAGGGGAATAAAACTAAAGCTATAATGGAAGAAATATATGCATGTTGGAAACCAAAACTCAGGGGATAGTTCACCAATGGGGAATTAAAAAGAAAGAATGCAGTCCTCAGTGGTGAATCTTTAGGGAGTATGCATGAAGACAGAGAGGATGGAAGAGATGCTTGCAGACTCTAAGGACGTTCTTTCCTTGGAGCTGTTAATGCCTTGGGTAAGGGAACTTGATTTGGAGGATATGCAAGCTTTCAGATTCTAGTGGTACAGAGGTACTTCATCTTGAATAGGAACTAAACCTCCATCTTGGTTCCAGCCAGGGCTAAGGGAAGGAGCCAGGCTGACCACCTGCTGTGTATGCAGGACCTCAGGCTCTGTGCTGAGCCCTGGCATAACTCTGAGTAATCCTAGAGTTTCTAGTTTTTCTCCAAGAGCTTAAGCTAATTTGCCTGTGGTTTTAATATCACTCAACAGTGGCACTGAAAATGAAACACAGGCTGCCCTGATCTGAGGCCTGTGGTTAGCTGTTGTGACATCTTGGTTTTTTGCTACCTGTGTTTCCTGATTCAACTTGTACCCATTGTAGGGGATGGTGCTGTCTTCTAACCAGTGGGGCCACAATGGAACCCACAAAAAAGCTCTGACATTGGCAGAGTGGGGCATTTTGAAAAACAGTGTTTGGTTAGCAGTCTGTACCAGCTAAATGGGGACTGAGGAGGGCTCAACTTTTAAGATTTCTGGGTCCTGAGCTTCAAAATATCCACAAGCACAGTTTTAAAAGGTCAGGTGCAATGCAGGTCTAACATGTGGGTGAATTCACAGCGTGAGTTCAAGTCAGGTTGTTGCTTCTGTGGAGTTTTGTCTTTGTAGAACTAGTAGTAGAGCCAGCCCTTTACATTTGTGGAATTTTAGGTAGAACAATTTTACTTAAATGTCTTGAGCATCAGTTACAGATAAGACCTATTGAAATTGACCGTAATTCCAGAGAAAACCTTTTGTCTTTCAGAGAAAGAATTTTCAACAGAGATGACTAGGAGGGGTGTATTTTGCTGATAGGATGGCCAGATTATCCTCCGTATGTCTAAGTAACAAGATAAAGGAAAGGGCTTTCCTGCCTGAGGGACAAAGATAATTACTGATAAGATTAAAAAGGAATAGAATCTTTGCTATGAAACTCTGGCATCCAGGATCTCCCATCCATTCTAGCTGTATCTGTATGTAATGATACATCTAATTTATTTTGAAAAGAGGAACTTTGTATCCAGCCTTAAGATTCTTCACTTGCAATCCAGAACAACTTTGTCCAACTGCTGTGCTAAAGCAACATGATCAAAGCGACTATTTTGGCTTATGGTTTCATAGGCATAAGAGTGTATCATGGTGAGAGGCATGGTTGCAAGGGCAGGAAACTGACAGCACAAAGCCAAGAAAGAAAACTGGAAATAGAGGAAGCATTTAAATTCTTCAAGCTTACTCCCAGTGACTTACTTTCTCCAGCATGGCTACACCTCCTATACCTCTCCAAACAGCCCCACCAACTCTATGGGCTGAGGGTTCAGAGGCCCTAGATAGAAAATACGAGAGAATTCTCATTCGAATCATCACAATGCCTTCCTCCATTTCCAGGTGAAATGTTCAGTGTCTGGACTGCTGGTCAGGCATCAGTTGCCTAGATATGTACTCACAAACAGGAATTTTAGTAGAGTTATCCAAGAGAATTATGATACAAATAGCCTTTTAAGGTTTCTGATGAGCTTGTAAAGAGAGAGTCCACTTTGGTCACTTTGGTGGGTTTGGGGCTGGGGGGGGGGTTGTTGTTGGTTGGTTGGTTTGGCTTTTCGTTGCTTGAGCATGCACTAAAGTTTCCTACACATCTATTGCAATGCGGTGTCAAGGGCAATAAAAAAGAATGCAACTTTTTAAAACATTTTAACACTCCTAGAACATTCAGTTGCTCTGTGTTTCACCTTCCTACACCTGAAGGCTGTTACCCTCAGTAGGAGTAAATGGATAGGACCATAGAACTTTAGAGTCGAGCTGGAGGTAAAACTAACCAGAGCCCTTAACTCTAAGATCAGAGCCAGGAAGGGCTAAGGCAGGGGCCTCGGCTCTCAGCAGCTCTACTATCCAAAACATCTGTTTCTGTAGTTGGCTCAGTTCCATGTTTTTTTTTTCCCTAAAATTGTTCCATCTTTGAAAACACTTTAAAAAATAAAGAAGTCCCCACTCTGTCTCCTCTTTCCACTCTCCAGCGCATGCATTTGTAATTACCTGGTTTAGTCTGTGTGTTTAATCAGTTTAAATTGAGAATGTTGCATACATCTGATTTCAATCTGAAGGAGCCATTGAGCACTGGGCAGTTACCACCCTGGAGTCTGCCAAAATGTGCCTCTGCCAAAACACGATAGGACTCACACCAGGGTATTTCCTAAAGACGCCACTTGACTCAGATTAGATGTTTAATTTCCTTAAAATATTGTTTTGGATTTGGGTCTCTGTTCCCTAATTGGGATTTTCTGATGTAATTTAGGAATATCGCTTATTTGCTGAGTTTGTTCCAGGACCCAGCTGGCAATCTCCTGAAAGCTAAACCTCACAGAAGGAAACCTCACTGTGTTGTACCTCATAAGGTTTTACCTCGAGCTTTGAAGGCAGGGCCAGGCCCACATTTACTGACAACATCATGGAAACATCATCCATGCAATGCAGTAGAGTTAAGTTTGGGAGAGGAAGGCTTCCAAATACGGTGATGATCAGAGTTTGTGCACCTTTTTGATTTTCTTTTCCTGTTTTGTTCTTTTGAGAATGAGTTTTCAAGATCCCAGTAAAGCAGCCCAGGACTGGCCTTAGCCTCCTGTGTGATGGATAGGATTACAGGTGTGAACTACCATACCTGGCCTTTTGAGGCATTCATCTTAAATTAATTAACTAGAAAAAAATAAGTTGTACTACTGATTATTCATTACAGATTTGTTTTACTAACTATATTCACATATCAACTAAGCTTGTGATTTGAGATCATGGATTCTGTTGTGCTTTTCTTTCTAGTACTGAGATTTATGAGTGGTTAAGAGTTAAAGTTACAGAGCTGAATATTTTCAAAAGAAATGTGTGTGTGTGCGTGTGTGTGTGCATGCTTGCATATGTGTGCTGTGCTGTATAGATCAGAGGACAATGTTCAGGAGTGGGGTTTCTTCTTCCATCATATTGAGGCAGAATCCATCTAATTCCTTGGACTATCATATGTTCTACCAGATCGCTACAACCTGAACATTTGGAGTTACCACAATATCTACTCATGTAGTTGTGTACCTGGATTGAACTCAAGTCATTAGACTTACAGAGAATATAGTATTATCCACTGAACTATCTCATTGGTCCTTTCAGAAGGTTTAAAACCAGAGTTCTTGAAGTTCTCTGTTTTTAGTCCTTGAAAGGCTCCAGAGTTCCCTTGTTAGCAGATAATTAACTCCTGAAAAGCCCCTATATATTCTCCATAGTGGACAAGCTTTACTTGCCGAGGGGAATGGTATAACATTCCAGCTGTGTGTTTTTAATAGGCTCACGAGCCCATCTCTAGACATGCTTTCACCATAACGAAATCACAATAAACACAGAGAACACAGTGAGGAAGGAAACTTGCAAAAATCTCCGTTGTTACTTTAAAAATCTGTTAATTGTGATGAATTCAGAACTATCAGCCAGTTGCGTTATTGAACTCTAAAGATCTGGTTTTGCAAAAAAAATAATCAAAGCCATTGACAAGAGCTGAGGTTGCAGCTGAGTGAGCAAACTTTGCTTAGCATGCATGTGAAAGGCCCTGGTTCCATGCCTGGCATTGCAAAAACAGAAGGCAGACATAGAAAGCTTAGTGATGTAGGGCTACAGCCACCTGACACAGCTCTTCAAAGCAGAATTAGTCTTTGTAAGGAACTAGAAACCTATTTTACTCCTGAGATGAACATTTTGATATGGCTTCCCAAGGTTCTGTCTCTCCTTGCAGGAAGCATCCCTGAGAATATTGTCACAGTCAGTCTCCACCCCTCTGCCCTTGCTTCTATTAGATCCTCCCCACACAGGTGTTCTTGCATCTCTAAGACATCTGTGCTCTGATTCATGAGGTGTTTATCTTATCATGTAAATCTCAGAGGTAACCTCATTTCTGCGTTTCTTGTGTCTTGCAAGATGCCACATGAAGCTGGCAGCTGGTGTTCCGAGGCCAGGGTTTCCTTCTCCGGATGCATAGTTAATTCCCAATTCTCTCTGCCATTCTAACTTTCCTGGGTTGTAAGGGAGCAGCTCTACCAGCTTGGAAACGTATCCAAGTCAAACAGTCACTCACCAAGTCTTAGTTAGGACTTCTCATTTTTCAAGACTCAATTAGGCATCAGTGGATGTGTTTTCTTCCCAGATAGATAGATAGATAGATAGATAGATAGACAGACAATAGATAGATATTGAGCATCTTTGCTGAAGTAAATGGTGTTAACCTGGCATTTGGTTGTTAGGGATACTAAGTACATAGCATGGAAAGAGCTACTACCCTGGTAAGCTGGGATGGAGCAGGATACCAAACCCTCTATGTTTCTTATAGTTCATTGACACCAATACTGTGGTTTTGTAGTTCCTTTGTGATTCCTGTTAGTATCCAGAGAGAAAGCCTCTGTCCCAGAGCAGTATGTTCATATCTAGACATTATAGTATTGGTGGTAGAAGGAGACAAGATGGGAAATAAAGGTTGTACTTAGTACAGAGTAGATGATTCATTACAAATGAAGACAGTCAAATCTAGGAAGAAGAGATTTTTCTGGCAAACACTGGAAAGATCATTAGCCAATCTCATCAATGCCATAACCATTGCTGACGGAAAATTGAGACAATTGAGACAAAACTGAGACATTTCAGTATCTCTGGTGGAGATACTGAAAAAGTTTCCCCTTGCTTGACCATATGGACGACAGAGGCAACATGTTGTGAGGAAGTGCTAGGCGGGCATGTGGAGGTATGGTCAGCGTGCTAGCAGTGAAATCTGAATCAGGTGGGTGCCTGGGTTCCTCCTGATAGAATAGGTAGGTAATAGTAATGTGTACAACATGATGAATGGCCATCAGCCAAAGGCTCTGGTAGGAGCCAGGTAGCCCACCCAGGACAGACTGCAGGGACCAGGGCAAAGCTTTATGTCCCAGCACTCTCTTATCAGGGTGACTTGCCTGGAGCTGTGGGCTTTTGGAGAGGAACACAGCACTGGTTCACACTGCTGTCCTGCGGGGCAGGGAGGGCTGGCAGGGAAAAGGGCAGCAGGTTGGAGAAGTAGCACGAGGGTTAGGTTGTGGTGCAACTGGAAGTCCATACTGGGTAACATCCTGACTAAGGTCACACCAGGGCCAGCGTCTTCTGAGTTGTCCATTTTGTCTCTGTCGTTCTTGAAGATGTGGGAACTATGACATCTTTCCTGTTTACTAGATTTTTACCTTCATGAGCATTCACCTGGCGTCTCTCCTTCTCCTTCAGAGTTGCTGGAACTGTGGCCGGAAAGCAAGTGAGACCTGCAGCGGCTGTAACACCGCCCGATACTGTGGCTCTTTTTGCCAGCATAAAGACTGGGAGAAGCATCACCACATCTGTGGACAGACCCTGCAGGCCCCACAGCAGGGAGACACACCGGCCGTCAGCTCCTCGGTCACACCCAGCAGTGGGGCTGGGAGCCCAATGGACACACCACCAGCAGCCACTCCGAGGTCTACCACCCCGGGAACCCCCTCCACCATAGAGACGACGCCTCGCTAGACCTAAACTCAGACTGTCAGAGGAAAGACACCACAACCAACACGAAAGCAATTCCTCATCCTCAGATGCTCAAAGTCCCTTTTCTGTTTGTTTGTTTATAGATGAACTATCTTATTTCAGTACTTCGGCAAGAGAGAACCTAACTGTATCTTTGAGGCGATAGTAAAACACAGAGGCCAGTAACGGGTCGTAATGACTTACTGTGGATAACAAAGATATCTTTTCTTTAGAGAACTGAAAAGAGAGGAAAGGATATAACGTGAAATGCTAGATTTGACCTCCTCCCTGTTATTTTCAAGTAGCTGGGATTTTAAACTAGATGACCTCATTAACCAATGCTTTACCAAACAGCAAACCAAGAGATTGCTAATTGCTGTTGAAAGCAAAAAAATGCTAATATTAAAAGTCACAGTGTTCTTTATATACAATAATGGAAAAAATAAAAAGAGGCAATTCCTCAAGGGCATGAGCGTTGGATACAGCAGTAGACATTTTAACAAGAAGATGAATGGCGTCTGTGGGTTGCTAACTGAACTTTGAAGACCCGCTGCAAAACGCGCAGATGTGCGGCAGATTGGAAGGAGACACAGATGTTCGGGTTTTTTCCTGTTTCTGAAAAAGAAATAATAATATCCAGGTCAACAGAATGAAAAATGAAAGATGATTTCCAGTGGGGTATATGACTACAGCAGCAAGAAAAAAATGGTCATGGTACAGAGGCTCCTTTATATATATATAGACACACACACACACACACGCACGCACGCACACACACACACACACACACACACCTCTTAAGAGACTCAGCCTGCAGTTAATTAGCATTCTGGCAGCTTCCAAGACAGCCAGCTGCCCTAAATAACCCTTCAACATTTCTTCACTTTTGCAAGGTTCCACAGAGTAAGACATTGGGTCTATTCCAGCTCATTCATTTTATATTGAAAACTAATTTTTTAAAAAAAAAATGGTGGCTTCAGCTCCAGCCCCTTTCCAAAATTTTTTCAACCCCACCCTGTTTGGATTTTTAATTAAAATCTAGTAGTTCTCTTGGTATTAAAACACTTCTGTCCTGTGAGGTTTTTCCCAATGGTGTTTTTCTTGTAAATGTGTTGGACAAATGTGAAGATGCATTGTAGTTTATCCATATGCCCACATTTAGTCTCTTTATTCCTAGTTGGTGAGAAACCTGTATCTTTCTATGCTGCTTTTATATCTGTATGTATTAGTGATATTTCTCTAGTAGTTAAAAAAAAAAACAAAAAGAAAAGAAAAAAAAACTTTTTTGGTTGTCCTCAAGAAAAGAAAAGAAGAAAAGAAACGAAACGAAAAGAAAAAGCTATCTTTTGGAGCTGCTAACTCACTCTCTTATAGGATTTTTTTCCTGGAAACCAGCATGCTTCATGGAATGCTAGCACATGGATGTTTTGTAAGAGGGATGTACATAAATGTATTTTGCACTGTCACAATGACTCCCTAGGCATGCTTATTTTTTTTCAAACCAACTTTTTAAATATGCTAGAGCCATTTCACCGATTTTAGCTGTAGCATAGAGTAGTAGTGGAATTTTTCTTTCTTTTATTTTTTTTTTATGAAAAAAATTATTAGGGACTTTTTTAAAAAAAATAAAATAAGATATCCTACTTTAAAAAAAAAAAGGACAGTGCATGCATATTGCTGTAAGGTTGTTTAAGTATTTCTAATTTTACAAAAAATGAAAAAAAATCATTAGAGCTCCAAATGCTGAGGTGTAGACGGACAGCTTTAACCCTGCTGAGTGCCAGGTTATACAGTATTCTTACAAAAGGGAAGTCAGCCAAAGACTGATCTGATGGACCAAAATCGGAATTTTGAGAAGCACCAGTAGTACTTTCCAAATGATCAGCAGGTTAAACATGTTCAGTGTGAATCCATTAACCCTTCGTTGTCCAGGGTCCAGACCAGAACTACTTGTTAGTTTTGAAACACATTAGCCCAGGATGTGGTTGTGTGCTTTAAGAGTCGGCAGTGCTGCAGGCTGTGTAGACAACCAAAGTTGACAAGGCTGGGAAGACACTTCTCCACATACACATACACCAGGCATTTCTTTACAAATTGAGTACAATCCATTAGCTTGTGGGAGGGGGGAGGAGTGGGTAATGTAGCCCTTGGATACAGTTTTAAGTGGTTGTATTTAAGTTATCTGCATAGAGGCAATCCTCATGGGTTTGCTTTATGTCTCACAAATCTAAGATTTTCTTAAACCATTTCCCCTGTATTTTCATATCCCAGTCAGTTTTGATTTTGTTTGGGTGGTGTTGTGTTCTTTTTTTGTTTTTAATGGCCTTTTAGTTTAGGAAGTTCTGATGAGCAAATAAATGCATCTATCTATCTGCATGTTGGAAGTCCATCTGCCAGCACACCTGCTAAAGGCAATGAGAAGCACATAACCAGGCTCTGAATGGGTTCTAATTTACCATGGTGCTCCCAGAATCCTTTGACCTCATTCTGCTTTCTAGTCTGCTTGTGACACTGGACAGTCCTTTCTTAGAGCTATTATATGTTCTAGGCTACGAAGGGTTAAATAATCCCAAAAAATGAGGTATGTCATACCCTCACGTCTCGATCTCAAGAAGCTGTGATGTATGTGGAACAGCACTGTTATTCTGAACACTAGTGTGTTAAATAAGGATTAGTACAGTACGTCTCATTACTTTTTAATTCAGGGCACCCTGAGTGAAAACCAATACAAAAAAAAAAAAATCCCTAACTCTGAGCTCTATCTCTAATTCCTCTTCCTCCTTCCCCTCTTCCTCCTCCTCTTCCTCTCCTCCTGTTTTGCTACATTCTCCTCAGTGGCAAAAAGTTTCACTCTACCTCTGACAGCATGTATATTGCACCAGTAGCTAACAAAAACTGGTCTAGTCAAACCAAATGGGCACAAAAGAACCAGGATACCAAAAGTTAAACTCATACAGCTGCGAACCATATCACTTCTTGGTAACAATGCAGACCTCATAAACCTAAAAGAAGAGAAAGAAAAGAAAACTTTTGTTACTTTCCTTTTTTTGCTTGTCACTTATATACAGGCTATGTGAGAGTATTAATTTGTAGGTATTACACATTAAAAAAAAAAGTTATCTTCATTGGATAGAATTGAATGGTGGTCGCTGATAGGAATAGGGCGTCCTCTATCTCTGATCTCTGTCTCTTTTCTCTTTCTCTTTCTCTGTCACGAGACTGTGTGTGACAGGGCCACCTGTCTTTTTAATTTTTTTCTGAACTTTTTTTTTTTAATGTGTAGGTGCATGTCTTGGGGATTTAAAAATTTCAAGGCTGGTTTACTTATGCAAAGCATGCCTATGTCTGGGATACTTAGGGAAAGAAAGCGACTCCATGTTGTCCGAATTCCTCAAGGGACAGAAAAAAAAATTGGAGACTGTTGAAATGCAGATTTGAAGTAATTTTATTTTAATTATTTTGGGTTCTGCGACATTATTGTGAAAAATTAAAGTTGTTGTGCAATACTTAATTCAGACACGTGCCACAAGTTAACGGTAGACTAACACTGGGGGGCGGGGGCTAGGCATCACGCTTTTGTCTGCATACTCTTGAGCTTTTAAGTCTACTATGTCTGAACTGTGGTTTCTTGTTTATCCTTTTTTTTTTTCCTTAGTTGGACTGTAATGTATGGTCTGTCAACCTGTGAATCTTTAAAGTATGATTCAGGTATTGTTGTACTCTTTACTGTGTAATAAAAATGCTTAAAAAAAAAGTCAGTATTCTGTCTCCCTTATCTTTACTGTATGCCAAGGCTACCACTCAGGGACTTTAGCCTTGAAGGGCAGTTCTTCATGGAGCATGCCTAGAGTCTAGTCAGCTACAGAGTGTGTCTCTAACATGTGTTAGTTCACCCATGACTGATGAGGGAGAATGATAGAGCAGAGAGGACATTTCTGAGGTCATAGTAGTCAAATATAGAAGGATACTCAAAGTCCTCCATAAGAAAGGATAGTTTAGACTAGGGGTCACCTTCTTCAGAAAGGTTTATTTGCCATCTTTTAAAGCTCTGGCTTGCAGCAGGTTGCTCCAATGTACAGCTGCAGGATGTACCCACTAAGGCAGACCTCTTCCTCCACCTGTCTTAGATCCTCACTGCCTTTAATTGGAAGTTGCTAGTATGTTCACACTTGGTTTTGTACATCTGTAATACACAGTATGGTATGTCCAGCTTGTTTCTGAGATCCATGTTGTCCATTTAACATGCATATGTATATACTTTTTCATGCACTAGCTATAAAGTAGCTTAGAATTTGGAGAACTTATCGGTCTTCTACCATAGGAACTTAGTCAATCTCCCGAGTACTTTACACAGCACATTGTTTTAAAGGAATGCATACACTACATTGTAGTAGAACTTCTTGTTTGCTTGTTGCTTGGAAGATTCCAACTATGGTCTAAAAGCTAGTTTAAAGGGATCAAGTAAAATGCAAAGCCTGAATCTGGAGAGACAGAGATGTCAGAGATGCTGGTGAGTCAGAGCTGGGGGTAAACTAGGGCCTTCCAACTCTGCCCTACCCCTGTCCTGACACCTGGCATCTCCATTTGATATTGAGGAATGCAGCCTGTTTGTCAGAGGGAAGAAGGGAGGGAGAGAGAGAGAGTTTAAAAACATGGATAGTGTATTTCTTATCCCTACAAAATAAACAGGCTGAATATTTAATTCAGTAGTTAATCCCCCCCCACCGCCCCGCCTCAAAAACCTGACCAGCCTGGATCAACTTGCTTTCCTTACTTGTACAGATACTTTTTCTTTTTTCTTTTCAAAGTGAAACAGACCAGAAAACAGAAGACATGGAGGATAGAACTGAGACCCCATGAAGTAGCGGGTTTATAAGCTGTCCTTGAAAAACAGCTCTGTGACATATTTGTATGATTGGATATGCTGGACAAATGGTTAATGAGTTTAGTTTAGAGGAAGAATGTGAACAAAATCAGCAGCTTCTGGGTGGTGAGGACCACTTTTTTTTAAAGGAATGTTATTGATGTATTTGATAATATAAAAATGATGTTTGCCATGAAAGAACACTAAGCTGTTTCCCCAGAATGGAAGGGAAGAAATGGTCCAAGAGGTGCTTTTCTGTATGGGTGTTTATATCTTTCTTCCAAGGTGAATGAATAAAGTTGTACTTGCCTAAACTGGTCCCTGGTCAATCTCTTCTCAGCCATACTAGAGAAACTGAGTCAGACAAAAGCAGGAAATAGGTTTTCCACAAATACAGAAAAGGAGATAGGGCCAAAGTTGTTTCTCCTTTGCTTCTGGGGCTTTCTTATTTAAATAAACATTTGGCCAAAACACTTCCAAATCTATATATAGGAAATTTATGGGAGATTTATTGAGGCCACTATGCTTGACTTACTGTAATAAACCTACGAGTTGAATGGGAAGTTGAAATGAGAACAAGTACTCACTTTTAGCTCCCAATGCTAACAGCATAGAGTTGGAGTTGTCAAGAGTGGGCCTTCACATTGTATGCCACAAACAAGTTCAATTTCTCTATCACCAAAAACTAGAAAGATGAGAGACAAGTTATCCCATAGGAATGTGAGTCATTGGGAGTACATGAAGCTGCCCAAAATCTGCATAAATCAACAGCAACTAGAGCCCTTTTAAGTCCACAACACAAGGTCAGGCTCCCAATTAACACTCAATAAATATAAATTGTAAATAAAACTGTGACTCTGCAGCTGGAAATAAGTCAGTTGGTTATAGTAACAGAAAACATGAGGGCCATGATTTTATCACCTGAGAAGGAGATCGCAAGAAGAAGAGTAAGCCGTGTGCAGCTCTGACCTTGACAAAGCAGAGGCATGGCCATTGTTTACAAATTCCAGAGTTTATAAACACCAAAGCAAGGAAGTCTTTCTCACGTAAACAGTACCTGGTTATTGGTAACAAACACATATTTAATTAATTGTCATGGTTCTCTGTTAATTTGTTATAATTTGTTTGTTAATTTATTTATATAAGGCTGAGTTAGTAAGACATTAGAAATACTTTAAGATTCATGCACTTAACAGTCCAGAGTAAGAACAGTGGCCTAGTGGAGATCTCATGGCCTCTATCTGCCACAGAGGCTTTTTAGCTTTCTAAGTTCCCACATTCGGCTCCATCTTTGCCCTGCAGCATTCACTCTGAATCCCTGAACTCTAAGTGTCCCATCTCCTCTCCCATATCCATTCTACAAAAACCAACATTTTTAATATTTTTCTTTACCTCAATATTTCTTCTGTCAGACCTCATGCTTGCCCTTGAAAGTTCCTATAGGAACCATCTTGAAATATTAAGAAAAGAATACCTCTGCAGACAAATATTATATGTTGAGGGCCGGGGTGGAAACATATATGCAAACATTACTACTGTTTGTGGTCCTGTAACACTGGAGCATATACTTTCTTCAATGTATAGTTGTTTTCAGTTTCATGGCAATACTTTCCCCTCAGACTTCTTGCTTTCTAACATACTCTGGAGTTTTTTTCCTGTGGTTCAGATGATTCCTGAGAGACAACCACTATTTTCTTCCTTTTGAGGGCTCTGATCTGAGAAGAGAAAAAAAAAAAAAAGACCTTCTTTCTTTGAAAGCTTACAACAAAAGGACTGTGAGTGTAGTTTAGAGATTTTCTAGATCAGAGAAAGCCCTGGATTTAATCCCCAGCACTATGGAAAATCCAAACAGCAAATAAAACCTAACTAAGTAATGGCACTATATAGTATGTCCCTAAAGATTATGTGTGTACATTTTTAAATATATATTTTTTAAAGTACAAGAAATTTGTGGTTTGAATAGATTTGGTCCCCATAGACTAATGTGTTTGAATGCTTGGCCCATCAAGAGTGGCACTATTAGGAGGTGTGGCCGTGTTGCAGGAAATATATCACTGTGGGGGTGGGCTTTGAGGTCTCCTATGCTCAAGCTATGCTCAGTGTAGTACACAGTCTCTCCTTGTTGCCTACAGATCAAGATGTAGATCTCTAGGTTCCACCTGCCTCAGCATGTAGGCCTGGATACTTTCATGCTTCCTGTCATGATGATAATGGACTAAACCTCTGAAACTGTAAGACAACCCCAATTAAATGTTGTCCTTTATGAGAGTTGCTGTAGTCTTGGTGTCTCTTCACAGCAATAAAACTCTAAGATAGAAATATTTTCAGTTTTCTTCATACATAAGAAGTGTTTAGTATAGACATGCTTAACTTGGTATGAAAATTATGCAAGGTTCCGTGAGGTGCTGAGAAGGGATATTCTTTTGTGTTTGGGTGAAATGTTCTGAAGATATCTGTTAGTCACATTTGAGTAACAGCATCTGTTAGGTCCATTATTTCTCTGTTTAGTTTTTGCCTGTCCATTGGTGACAGTGGGGGTGTTGAAGTCTCCCACTATTAATATGTCAGGCCTAAAGTGTGATTGAACCTTTAGTATTGTTTCTTTTACAAATAGGGGTGCCCTTGTATTGGAGGCATAGATGTTTAGAATTGAAACCTCATCTTGGTGGATTTTTCATTTGATAAGTAGAGGCCTCACTTCCCATATCTGATGCTGCCAAGACCCAGAGACATAGAATAGAACCAAACATGCTAATAATTTTCTGCTATGTTCATAGACAGGAACCTAGCCCAGTTGTCAACAGAGAGGCTACATTCAGCAACTGATCGAAAGAGATGCAGAGACCCACAGTGAAACACTAGGCACAGCTCAGGGAATCCTGCAGAAATGGTTAGGAAGGATTGTAGGAGTCAGAGGGGTCAAGAGAACCATAAGAAACCTCATCAAATCCACAAATCTGGGCTCATAGGAGCTCACAGAGACTGAACTGACAGCCAGCGAGCTACATAGTTCTGTTCTAAGCCCTTTGCATAGGCAATTATACTCAGTTATACTCAGTTATAGTCAGTTATAGATCTGTAACTGGTTCTTCGTTTTGGACTCCCAACAACGGGAACAGAGCCTGTCTCTGTCTTTTTTGCCTGCTTTGGGAACCCTTTTCTTCAAACTGAATTGCCCTGTCCATCCTTAATAAGAGGGAAAGTGCCTAGTCGTACTGCAACGTGATATGCTGTTTCCGTGATATTCACAGGAGGCCTGCCTTTTTCTAAAGAGAAACAGAGGAGACGTGGTTGGGGCAGGGAAGAAGGGAGGTTGGGGGAGTGACTGGGAGAAGAAGAGGGAGGGGAAATTTCAGTTGGGAAGTAATATATGAGAGAAGAATTTTTTGAAAAGGAGGCAAAACAGGATGTTCTTAAGTAGTGGTTATAAACTGTGGGTGTTGACCCCACAGGGAATCACAGATCACATATCCTGCATATGAGATATTTACATTATGATTCATAACAATTACAAAATTATAGTTATAGAGTAGCAACAAAATAATTTTATGTTTGGGGCTCACCACAATATGAGGAATTGTATTACAAGGTCACTTACTAGGATGGTTTAAAACTATCCTTAAGTTGAGGAATAAACAACTCAAAGACTTCATGAAGTTCTTGTAACTGACCAGATTCTCTAGGTCCGTCTCTTCCTCCCCAGGGCTTATAAGCAATAAAGATTGCATAGAGACACTCAGAAAACTGAGCTGCCTAGGAGCTGTGACAAACTCTGTTTCCTGGAAGATAATCAGACTGATTCAGCTTCATGGAAGAAGAGAAGCAGTGACGAGATGGACTTTCTAAAAAGTGACAAGCCAAGCTGGCTAGAAGACTCAGAAACTCTTCAATGGAAACCAAGTAGACTATCAGGACTCTCTAACTTATTGGCTGTGTGTATGTTCCAGGCTTCCAGCTGTTATCCATGCTGGGGTCGACTTTGGTGATTCATCTGAATCATGTCTGCTCCTGTAACTAATACCTCAACAATATAAACTTATTGGTTCACTAAGTTAA